ACCAGCGCCCTAATGGAACCATTCCACCTTTTTACAAGTAGCAGGCTGCACATCTCGAAATCTTCAGCATCCGCCTGTCACTACTTGCCGGTTTTAAAGTTGGTCACTCTTCTCTGTCCCAGGTACTGACATCACGCTTGTCTCGTACTCCATCAGCGTGGGTGACTGTCTCGAAGCCGCCGAAGAGCTCGCCAAGATGGGCGTTAGCGCAGAGGTTATCAACATGCGCAGTCTGCGACCGATGGATGATGAAACAATATTCAATTCGGTGAAGAAGACTCATCGACTTATTACCGTCGATCGAGCCTGGCCGGCGTGCGGTATCGGTGCTGAAATCTGCGCCCGTGTGATGGAAAGTAAGCGACACCATGAAACTGCTCAACACTACTTTTTGCTCACTTGCTCTACCCATGTCAATTTCAAACTGTGTTACCCTGCCTGCTACTTAACGGTAGACCGTAGTCATGAGGCGAATCGGAAGTCCAAATTCTTCAGACGTAGTTGCCTTAGCACTATTTTGTCGTGTTTTAGATTTACGTTATTTCCAGATTTTCTGGAGATTAACTAGATTCATATTTCATTCCTGCCTGTCGTATGTTCTTTACCCTTCCAAAAACGCCTGCCCGCACCTTCGGCGCACCAAGCTCATTTTTAGAATTGGGCGACTCAGTGCACTTATAACGGCCCCTTTTTCCCCTTACAGGTGACACCTTCCACTATCTTGACGCCCCCGTTTACCGTGTAACTGGAGCCGATGTACCCATGCCTTATGCCCACAATCTCGAGAGCGCCTGTCTTTCCAATGCCTCTAATGTGGTTGCCACAGCCAAACTCCTCCTCAACATTAAGTGAATCGGCCGTTGTTATTCTTAATATAGCCATTTGTTTTTACTAACACCTCGCGCCAAACAACACACCGCGCATAGTCCAATTGACTGTCAGCGGTTCGACTGTTCCCAAAGGAAAAATAGTGTTCAATAAAGTTTCTTAATACTTCCAACCCTTGTTGTGGGACAATAAGCTCTTTTTACGTCTTACCTAAGACACTATAAATTTGGTTGAACTTCTCCCGTGTCCTATTTCTGCACCACCTTCATAGTAGACTTGCAGTGCATCTACCGGACTCTTTCTCCACTGGCATCCGGTGTCAAGACAGTCAAGCAGACCGGAGGCGGGAGAGGGTACAGGTGGCTGGCGCGGCCCGAGCCGCCCCTAGGCCTGCCGCCACACCCGGCTCATCCCACGGAGCGAGTGTCACAGATGTAACATTAAGAAGCGGCCATTGCAGCCTGACTCCCAGTCCGCCACTCGACACTAACACGCTGGGCTGACTTCGAGGTCCAAGTTGCCCCATTAATTGACATCCTTCCAAGCCACGGCCTTAGCGCACCGTAATGGCTTTAGGCGCATCAGGTTGTTTATAGTGAGGAAAGTGCGCTCAGACGCCGATCTCAGTCTCTTCCCACTCCCAGGCGTCAGTCAACTGTCCGGACCGGTTTAATAGCTGATGGCGGAAGTAGGCGCAGTGAGTGACAGAACTAGACAGCCCGTCTGCGCGTGCAACGTGCACGATCTGGCCCCCCGGACGCATGCACCAGGATTGCACACGCACAGGGGGCAGAACGCTCGGATCTCACATGCAGCAAAAGAGCCACACGGAAAACGGAGCCGAAAAGCACGTTTTCCACTTTCGTGGGGAGTGCCGGAGCTGTGGGATATTGGAGGGTATATGCGTGGTGTATGTACTGATGTGGTCGTGTCTTCGGTGGTTTACGGCAGGTTTTTATGAAAGCGCATGTGACTGAATAGGTCCATGTGGTGGGTGAATGTGCGGGGACAGTATGGACAGTGAAGGGGACGTGCGGTGTGTGTGTTTGTGCTTCTGGCTCCGGTTCGCCAGTCTGTGCGATGGATTCGTATGTGACCGGCCAACCCAATGCGTGGTATGCGTACACGGTGGCAATGAGGGCAGAATAGGTTTGAGGCTATAGAATCGGTTGGGGTGATAAGGTTAAAAGCCGTGGTCGTGCTGGTGGATGATGAGTTGTTAGTGTTGGAGATGAGAGCGCTGTCGGACATGCAGGGTTTGTTTGGAGTGTCGATATCGCGGCGACCTCCGCTTTCGTGGATGCGTATGTGACCGTATAGTCTCCTGTGGTGAGTGCGGGCAATGGGGACGGGTGTATGTCGGGACTCGGAGCACTGGTACACCGGTCACAGTGTGATAGACTGGCAAGTGGCCGACCAGGCCGGTGGGTGGGCTGAGTGTGCGGTCGCAATACGGACAAGTTGGGATCGAGTCTGTATTGCCAGTGGTGAAGACGATGATTGACGGGACGTCGGATGCCGTCTCATTGGTGGTGGAAGTGATAGAAGGGGTGAAGCTGGTCGCTGTGAGTGATGCAGGGGTTGGGGTGAGAATAAAGGTGCCTGTGTTCGAGGGCGGCGGAGCGTCAGCCTCGTGATCACGGTTGGCGGGGTTGGTCGTGGGGTTTGGTACAGGGGTGTTAGTGCGAGGAGAAATTGACGTTGCCAGGTTGTTATTGCATGGCGTCGGGAGAAGCCGGTTCGCGCGCGGAATGTGTGCTGACAGTGGGGGCATGTTTGAAGCCACTAACTATTGATGTCGTGGATCCAGGATGCTTGGGACTTAAAAGTTGCCCTTCTGGTTTTGGCAGCGACGATCCGGTTTGTTTTGTAGATTGCTGCGCTAGTTGTCACTGATCTCCTCCAAGCCGGTCTGCTCTGGGCGAGGTTCCCCCAGGTCTCCGAGTTGGGATGCAATTGCTTTAGAAAGTCCTCTAAGGTGTCCTCGTGGCGTCGTTTTTGCCTTCCCTGTCGGCCGGCACCCGTGGCGACACCTCTGTAGAAAGTCGTTTGGGTAGTTGCTCATCGTCCATTTTTAGCAGGTGGCCGCTCTATCGCAGTTGCAGTTACTTCAGCATGGCGTGGATGCCGAGGATTCCGATCCGTTCCAGGACTATCGTGTCTGGGATCCTTTACTGACATCTCAGCTTCAGTGTTCTGCAGATGCAGCTGAGATGGAAGTGATTCGGCTTTCTGGCTTGATCGGATTACACATCCCAAACCTCTGCTCCGTACAGAAGTGTCGTCATGACGATCGCCTTGTACATCTTCAGCTTGGTGTTCAGTCTAAGGCTGTGGTGATTCCACGCGGAGACTTGCAGCCGACCGAATGCCTGGCTGACGTTGGAGATTCGATGGGCGACCTCGTCGCCGAATTTCGTGCTGCGCGAGTATGCTTCATAGATAAGCGAGGTTGTCCACGGTTTGGGGTTGGCTGCCGTCAACATTGATTCGAGAAGTGCTGTATTCCGTGTTGGGTGACGGTTGGTACATGAACACCGTTTCGTCCGTGTTTATTTTCAGTCGGATGTCGGCGCATCCGGCGGCAAAGAGGTCCATGCCGCTTTACATGTCCTCTTCGGTCGTGGTGCTAAGCGCTCAGTCGTTTGCGAAGAGCAGGTCGTGGACCGTAGTCGTAGATAGCCGCGTTGAGGCCTGCTCGTACAGGCCATTGAGGAGATGCCTGTCAGTCCTGTATCCGATGCCTATCCCAGGGCGCTCATCACAGCAGGCATCCCTCAGCAGAACATGAGACTGAAGAGAGCGGGAGCAAGTGCGCAGTCCTGCGAATGCCTCGGAGATTGTCCCGTTGTCTGTGACTCGCGCTGTCACCCCGTCACTGAGTTACATACCATTTGCGTGAATCGCTCAGGACAGCCGAATTTCTGCATGATTTTCCACAGTCCATCGCGATTCATCTTGTCGATGGCCTTCGTCAGAGCCACAAAGATAGTGTAGAGGTGAGTTTGCATTTCTTGGCACTTCTGTTGTAGCTGACGAGCGGCAAAGATCCTGTCAGTGGCTCCGCGGTGTCCTCAGAAGCCACATTGGCTCTCAGGAAGTAGTCCCTGCTCTATGTGACTGTTGAGACGATTAAGAAGACGAGCGAAGACCTTCCCGACGATTTTGAGAAGCGAGATGCCTCTGTGATTATAACAGAGTTGCCGGTCCCCTTTGCGCTTGTAGAGAATGACGATTGTCGCTTCCTTGAAATCCTGAGCAACCTGTCCGCAGCGCTACATCTCCCGGAAGAACGCCGTGAGGCGACCTGTCAGTCGGCGGCCCCGTGCTTGTAGATTTTGGCTGGGATCGAATCGGAGCCTGGTGCTTTCCTACTGGAGAGTTATTGCACGGCGCGGATAGTTTCTGGAAGAGAGGGCGGGAGATCCAGGCCGATGTTGATTTTCGCGTGGGAGATCCGGTCGATGGAGACGACTATGGTTGATGGGCGATCAGCGACACTTCTGAAGTGCCCGGCCCATCGCTTCAGAATCTGCGAATTCTTGATTAGAAGGGTTATTCTGTCAGTGCTAAGAAGCGGGTCGGTTCCTTTGGCTGTGAGACTGTAGATGGTTCTAATGTCTGCGCAGAAGTTTTTTATTCTTTTCGGTCCGTATACCCTTGGATCTCAGTCCAGGTGCCCTGCATTCCTTGCAGCCGTTGCTGCACAAGACCGCGACGTCGGTAGAAGACCGCTTTGTTTGCATCAGTCGGGCGGTCAAAGTAGGCTGTATGAGTCTTTTCTGTTCAACGAGCAGATTACTGATGACTGCGTTGTTTTCGTCAAACCAGTCCTGGTGTTGACGACATGCGCGTCCGAGGAAACTCGGCATTTTCGCCTGGGGCTCGCAGGTCTTCCAGTCGCTGGGCCAGTTAATTGTTGAAATGGAGACGTTGAGTAGGCAAATTCAACAAAACAGTATTTAGCTTACCCTTACGTTGTGACCTCTTGCGAGGTTGCATTCGGATCTTCATCTTGGAGGCAACGTGGCGGTGATCCGTCCAGCCATCGGCCTCGCTGATCGCCTTGGTCATCAGCACGTCCCTTGGATCACGCCGTCGGACGATAACGTAGTCCAGTAGGTGCCAGCTCTGCGATCGTGGATGCATCCAGGTGACCTTCTTCCGTATCGGTAGGCGGAAGAGGAGAGCAGAGTTACTGGGTGTGGGGCCACACACAATACCGGATATTCTCACGAGTTTTAGCCCGCTGGTCGAGGCGCTTAGCGGGTTGTGGCCGCTAGGCAGGGCCTAACTTCGAGGAGCCACATGTGAAAGTTTGGTGCCAGGTGATGGACATTAAGCGCAGTCAACATCTGCACGAGACGAGTGGTGCGACCTACTACGACAATCACGTTGAGCCCACAAGTGGACACCCCCACACCCCGGCCACGGTGCCAAATCATGAGGCCGAAAGACCCATTACCACGGCAAAAAACATCTGGAGTCGTTTACCGTGTCTGTTGCAGCTGTGGGCAAACAGCTATGTCGGAGAAACCGGAAGACTACTCCGGACGCGGATGGCTGAGCATACAGCAGCGGTGAGGAGGAGGGACGACGCCAACTCCCAAGTCGCGGCTCATTCGATAGAACTCAACCACACAGTTACGTTTGACAAAGCAGAAATTCTTTCCAGAGGTGACAACTGCGTGAGCTGCGAACTTATCGAGTCATGGTTTTCAGGTCCCCAATCAGTCAACAAGCGCAACCACCTTTCCGCTTCATATTCGGCGCTGAGACTTTGTCTAGGCAACGCAGTTAGCCGCGAGGAGAGCGTGCGGATAACCACTGTCCCCGGTATCAATGTCGGCGAGACAAATTGCCCAAGAGTCCACACGGATGACGAAATGCGGTAGTCAGCAACTCGACTGTGTGCGATGAGCGTGGGACTCGATAATCTTGATCGGCACTCAAGGGCATAACAATGGCATGGCAACTTCATACTTCAACACCTGGCCAGTCGAGCTGCGATGCGCCCGGGAGCTGCCAACTGCGATTGGCATGTAGCGGTCTAGCAACTACATCCTTTAAATGCTGCAACACCTGGGCAATTTACCACCCTTATCTGACCCTGTCTCTGATGCTGGATTCGAGTGAGAATCCAAAACGTCAGGCTAATAAAGCTCTTGTTCCTGTGACGCTTATGTATTACAGGATAGAAAGGGGGAGCGTGAATCAGAAGTGCAAACCCGTGAATGTTATTACAGAAAGGTGTTTGTATAGAAAGTGAAGTGCGTAGTTAGACTCAGTCATCCAACTATGCGGGGGAGGGTTAAGTGGATATGGCTTCGTCCAAATCACGGACGCGGAGAGATTTAATAAATTCAAACGGCTAGATCGCAGTTGGGAGCCAGGAATGGGGAAGCAGACGGCGACCTCAACCCTAATCCTAGCCTTAACCCTAACCGTAACCCTGAACGTTAACAGTTAACCCTAACGACAACGCTAACACTAACCCTAACCGAAATCGTTAACGTAACCGTAGCCCTTAGACATAGCCGTAACTGAAAAACCTAACCGTAATACTGAAACCTTATCGTGCGCCCAACCCTAACCCGAAAATCGGAAACCATTAACCGGTACCCTAATCCTAACCTCAAACCTAAAACGGAAGCCAAATGAGACAGATGTGATTATGGGGCACCACAAATTAACCCCAGTAAAGAACCCCCCGCCACCTGTAATACGGGTCCTGGCTACCAACTGCGATCTAGCCATTCGGACTTCCAACTGACCAATCCCCAGTTCCGCTATTTTGAACTTAACCGAGTGCTTAGCACGGGATTTAGGACTCTCTATGCGAAGAGCAGTCGGCCGGAAAGCACGGCAATTTTTCCCCAATTTGTTGCATAAGGTCGTCTCAGCAACTTAGACTTTCCCTGCAGCCGGCCGTCCTGGAATATCAGTTTATTCAATCAAAAATACTTGAAAAATTTAACGTTGGCAGTTATGTATACTCGATTTCTTTTTAGAGCTCGGTTGTTTTTCAAGCTGGTCGGAAGATCTCGGTCAGTATTGCAGCAAGATTGAACAAGAAACCACACGGAGTCGAGAAAGCAGTCAAATTGAAATCAGCTACAGCTAACCATGTCTCCGGAAAGACTATTTACCCATTCACTTAGCTTCTGGTTGTTCAACGCGCCCGCAGATGGCGGATGGTGAAACGACCTTCAGCGAAGTTTAGCCGCCACGTGAGCAAGCCGTTGGGTCTGACGGATAAGCAGCTGCGCACCCGCAACCGCGATGCTACCAGAGCGCAGAGGGCTGAGGTCAAGCGCACCGACTGCCCCACAAAATACAAACCCAATAAGGGCACTGTGACGTTGCTACCGTTACCTTATGGTTACATTTTTGAGTCAAAACGTCAGGGAAGACCTCGAACAAGCAATCTGACCGGGTGTCGGGAGCTCACCTCCACTCAAAATTCCCATAAAACTATGAGAAGTGTTTGTACCCTCCATCCTATTGGTCCGCTCGACTCCCTGACAGACAAGACGCGGCCATCAGCCCCTCTTAGCAGGCGAACCGGCATTGGCTGCATCGGAATCGGTCAGTGACTGGGCTGAAGGGTCGCCTTACGAACATTTTTGTCTCCTCTGTGCATGCACAAACTTCAGCTGCCGACCAGTGCGATTCAGAAACTCACTCCCGGCTGCGGCACTTAGTCGAAGACTTCTCTGCAGCGATCTGCTAATGTTGCAGAGGGCTGGAATGGCCAGTCTGGGCCGCGAGAGCCTTCAAACGGTCACTTCACTTGCCTCCCTGAGCTTGGATCTTGAGGCGACAAAGGTGGAACAATGTTGAGCTTTGCTAATCAGAACGGGCTGGCACCGTCACAGAAATATACATTGACCTGGTAATCGGACGATGGTCATTTGGTAGTCGGATTGACTGTGTCCTAATTAGTTCAAGATTCCCTAGCTAGGTTAGCGGTGTCTGATCGATGCATGGCGTCGTCTATGGGTCAGGTCAAGCTGTCGCTCGCACGCACCTGGCAGTTTACCTCTCATCGGCATTCAAACTGTCGCGTAAAAGACGTCTTGGTGTCAGAAGATTAAAACCAGCAGAGTTGTGGCTCTGAGCGCAGAAACTCGATTTTGCCTCGCAATTCAAGTCAAAGCAGAAGACAACGGCAAATAGTCATCGCTGAAGTCCACTGAAACCAATCCCCTATCGCTGAATGACTGGATCAGCTCAGAGACCCTAGAGATGACTGCCCAGACAGCTTGGGCTGGCTTCCGCAACAATCATTCATTCTACCGACTTCGTAGAATGACGGAATGGTCGGCTAAAGATGTCAGCAAGTGCTTGTAGGCAGAAGTTGACTTTTATATAACAAGCATCAAACGTCGATGACACTCGAAACCTCTACCAAATTATTCACGAACTTAGCGGTAGGCCACCTGCACTGGGGACGCCGTTCGAAATGTGCTTGGCGCATTTACTGCTAACAGGTCGGCCAAGGTCAAGCGTAAGCACCTCGAAAACCTCAACTTCGATGCCCAACCCACCAATATATCATTCTCCTCATCCCTCCATCCCTCATCCCTCTCCATCCTATCGTTTGAGCCCCTTTTCCGGAAGAAATACTCAGCGCGCTACTGAGGCCGCAAAACAACAAGAGGCCCGGAGAAGACGATAGT